ACTAATTATAGATTTATAAAGCCTATATCTTAAAATTCTAAACCGTAAAAAATGTTTTGACACCTAAAACCCCATAAACACTCAAAACTAAAACCCTAATAGAACATAATTAACCCAAACATAAATAATATAAAGAAAAAATAATTTTGAAAAAATGACATTTTTGTAAAGATTTTAAAAGTGTGGCATTTTTGTAAAGTGACTTGAAAAGTAGTATTTTTTGAAACTTCTCAACAAAAATTCATGTCAATTAAAAGTTTCCACTCCGAATTCTAAATGGTGATCAACGAAAAAACGTTCACCTGGGTTAAGCTCAATTATTCAATTTTATCATACATTTGTGAAGCCCAAACTAAAAATAAATAATTTCATATAATCTTACCCAATCAGAAAAGGAGAGAGAACTGTGGAATTTTGTCCTTTTGTGGTATTCTCATTTTTCTGCTGGATTAATCAAATGCAACTGGTACTACAATTCTATAATTTAGCTAAATTCCTCTGAATTCCACAATTCTACTGGTACCGGTTAGGCCATTCTCTAAAACTAAACATATTATCTTCATCTTTTTTCTTCGACATAGCAGATTATTATCTAATACTCACTCCGTTTTTTTTATAGAATGTTTTGGGTTAAAACACAAAATTTAAAGAAAAAAATTTCTATCAAAAAAATTATTAAATATAAACAATTTAATCAATTTTAAAAAAAAACGGCATAAAATTTTTGGTTACATAGTTAGATACATAAAAATCTAAAAACATATTATACTATGAAACAAAACAAAATCTTCAAAACATGTTATAATACTAATCTATCATTGCTTGACGTGGTTTACCAACATTTTTTGTATTTTTGACTTTGTAATTAGGTGGTAGGTTTTGAATACTCATCAATAAAAAATTTAACCAACCGATTTAAATATATTTTCACCAACGAAACATATATACTCGCAAAAGCCTTGCGCATAACACAAATTCAAACAAGTCAATAAGGAGATTTAACTTTTTTTCGTCAGTGCCTTGGTGATATAATAATCCCGTAATTAACGATAGTAGTAATGCCTCTATTACTGACTTTGGTTATATACTAATTATTATTATAAAATTCAATATTTCAAAAAAGAAAAAAGCAGAAAAATAAAGGTTTCTTTCTCTAGTCAGAATCTGCCTTTTGGTCTCTCTTTCTCTCTCGCTATAATCTGCGTAGCACAGATCATATGGCTACTCTCTAGATTCTCTTTACCTTTTGATTCCTTCGTTTCCACTGTTCGGATCGATTTTGGAATCTAATAATTGGAGCTGAAGAAGAAGCTTGTTCTGCTTCCGAATCAATCCAAGATCGACGAGTCATAGCGATGTGGACTGGGTTTCGTGATTGCACGACTTGTTCACATTTGAGCTTGACTAGTGTGAATTTCTTTGAGGTTTCTTCGGCTCAAGGGGTTTGCTTCTGAGGAAAATTCGTTTTATGTCGAGAAACGGACGAATGGCTTCTTCCGATCTTAGTAGAGCGGGTCCAGTCACGAGAGATATTGAGCAGGTCGTTATCTTCTTTTTCTCCCCATTGCGGTGTTGTTTTTTTTGTGGTTCAAGTAGAGTTGTACTGAATTGTTAGGTTATCTGTGGAATTGGGATATATCTGTGTGGAGAATCCTAAGCTATATGATTACAGTTAAGAGATGATGATTTTCTTAGGCTGAGTCCTGTAATTTGAGAATTGGATTTCACAATTCTAGGTTAATGACGAGCTTTAGCTAAATAATACTACTAGAGTCTTATTCCAGCTTCTGGAGTCTCCAAGCTTATTTCAAGCTATATATTTATTTACGGAACATATTTTGTTTTTGTATATCAATTTGGCTCAGGCTATCACTGCCCTTAAAAAAGGAGCTTATTTGCTTAAGTATGGAAGAAGGGGAAAGCCTAAGTTCTGTCCATTTCGCCTTTCGAATGTAAGTCGTGTTGATTCTGTATCCTTTTTAATTCTGTGTAAGAATTTGGGCAACTAACTGGCGTTCTCATTTGTATTATTATGATTCTTCATGAGCCTATAAAGTCCTTTTGTTTTGTTGTATTTCGTCTCTGTTGCTTGTTCTGTGCAGGGTTTCATTGTTCCATGCCTAAGTAAATAGTTTGTCCTGTAACTTTCAGGATGAATCTGTTTTAATATGGTTCTCGGGAAAGGAAGAGAAACATTTGAAGCTGAGCCATGTTTCCAGGATCATATCTGGGCAGCGCACTGTAAGTTCTTACATCCATGGATGATGTCATTTATTTCTCCCTTGAGCTGGCAATGAAATGTTAGAATAAAGTAGTCCTATCCATTTTTCATTGCGTTTATTTGCTTGAACCTCTTAGTAGGAGTATCTTCTTTTAGTCGTGTCTAAGTTTTAACGTCATGGTTGTGAAGCAGCTTGTCCTCCAAATGTGATCTTAGTTATATTGTTTATGATTGCCCCAAGTGCTACATGTTATGCACAAGGCTCTTTTCTTAGAGTCGTTTTTGCATATTTGGATCTTGCATATCTAGTCTAGTGTGATATTCTGATAAGTTTTGGAATGGTGTTTCTCTTGCAGCCTATTTTTCAGAGATATCCACGTCCCGAAAAGGAATATCAGTCGTTTTCCCTAATATACAACGAGAGGTCACTGGATTTGGTGAGATATATTTCTTATAGTATATTGTTTTTTTAGGTTCCTCTACGAAATCATTATTCCATCATTACAATGTCTGTTATTATCAAAAGTTGGCTAATTTGGTGTTACAATACATAGATATGCAAGGATAAAGATGAGGCGGAAGTGTGGTTTAGTGGTTTAAAAGCCTTGGTCTCTCGTTGTTATCAACGGAAATGGAGGACCGAATCGAGAAGTGATGGGACGCCATCCGAAGCTAATAGTCCAAGAACATATACCCGGAGAAGCTCCCCTTTACATTCTCCATTTAGCAGCAATGAAAGTTTCCAGAAGGTACTAGAATGAAATATTCCACTTCATTTTGGGCATACCTTAACTAACATCATTTTCTTTTATCTTTCAGGATGGCTCTAATCACCGTCTTCACAGTCCATATGGAAGCCCGCCTAAGAATGGCATTGACAAGGCATTTTCAGACATGTCATTGTATGCAGTTCCTCCAAAAGGATTTTTTCCCTCAGATTCGGCAACTATTTCAGTCCACTCTCTGTCATCTGGAGGCTCTGAATCCATACATGGTCACATGAAAGGTATGGGTATGGATGCTTTTAGAGTTAGTCTGTCAAGTGCTATTAGTTCGTCGAGCCATGGTTCTGGTCATGATGATGGAGACGCATTGGGAGACGTTTTCATTTGGGGAGAAGGAATAGGCGAAGGTGTTTTGGCTGGTGGGAACCATAGAGTTGGAAGTTCGCTTGCAATCAAAATGGATTCTTTATTGCCAAAAGCTTTAGAATCTACTATAGTACTTGATGTCCAGAATATTGCTTGTGGTGGACAGCATGCTGTTCTTGTGACAAAGCAAGGAGAGAGTTTTTCTTGGGGAGAAGAATCTGAAGGTAGGCTTGGCCATGGTGTAGATTCCGATGTTCAGCATCCAAAGCTCATTGATGCACTAGGCACCACAAATATTGAGCTTGTAGCATGTGGCGAATACCATAGTTGTGCAGTTTCTCTATCGGGGGATTTGTATACCTGGGGTAAAGGAGATTTTGGTATCTTGGGACATGGAAATGAAGTCAGTCATTGGGTCCCAAAAAGGGTAAATTTTCTGATGGAAGGGATACATGTATCATCCATCGCTTGTGGACCTTACCACACAGCTGTTGTTACTTCTGCTGGGCAGTTGTTTACTTTTGGGGATGGGACCTTTGGTGTTTTGGGCCACGGAGACAGGAAAAGTGTTTTCATACCTAGAGAGGTAGACTCCTTGAAAGGTCTTCGCACTGTCCGGGCAGCCTGTGGTGTATGGCACACAGCTGCGGTTGTGGAAGTCATGGTTGGGAGCTCGAGCTCTAGCAGCTGTTCCTCGGGAAAGCTCTTTACATGGGGTGATGGTGACAAGAATCGTCTTGGTCACGGTGACAAAGAACCAAAACTTGTGCCTACCTGTGTCGCAGCTCTTGTAGAACCCAATTTTTGTCAAGTTGTGTGTGGACATAGCCTAACAGTTGCACTTACAACGTCGGGCCATGTCTATACTATGGGTAGTCCTGTTTATGGCCAGCTTGGAAACCCCCATGCAGATGGAAAGGTTCCAGCTCGAGTTGAAGGTAAACTTCACAAGAGTTTTGTCGAAGAGATTGCTTGCGGTGCTTATCATGTTGCAGTTTTGACTTCAAGGACTGAGGTTTACACTTGGGGAAAAGGATCAAATGGTAGATTAGGCCATGGGGATGTTGATGATAGAAATTCACCGACATTGGTTGAGTCACTGAAAGACAAACAGGTGAAAAGTATTGCCTGTGGTTCTAATTTCACTGCAGCTGTCTGCCTTCACAAGTGGGCATCAGGGATGGATCAGTCCATGTGTTCTGGTTGCCGCCAGCCTTTCAATTTCAAGAGAAAGCGGCACAATTGCTATAACTGTGGACTTGTGTTTTGCCATTCTTGCAGTAACAAAAAGTCCCTGAAGGCTTGTATGGCACCGAACCCGAACAAACCATATCGAGTGTGTGACAAGTGTTTTAACAAATTGAAAAAGGCCATTGAAACTGATCCATCATCTCATTCTTCTCTGAGTCGTAGAGAAAGTGTCAATCAGGGATCAGAAGCAATTGACAGAGATGAGAAGTTGGATTCTAGATCCGACGGACAGTTAGCTAGATTCTCATTGTTGGAGCCCATTAGGCAAGTAGACAGTCGATCCAAGAAGAATAAGAAATACGAATTCAATAGTAGTCGCGTCTCACCAATACCAAGTGGAGGCTCTCACCGGGGTTCTCTAAACATAACCAAGTCTTTTAATCCAACTTTTGGATCATCAAAGAAGTTCTTCTCTGCGTCTGTTCCTGGTTCTAGAATTGCGTCTCGGGCAACTTCACCAATATCAAGACGTCCTAGCCCACCTCGCTCAACAACGCCAACGCCCACTCTTTCGGGACTAACTACACCAAAGATTGTCGTGGATGATACCAAGAGAACCAATGATAGCCACCTAAGCCAGGAGGTTATTATGCTAAGATCTCAAGTAAGCTGCTTTCCACTCACTAATTCTTGTTCTTTATTCCATGATTCTTCACCCTTTCCTATGTTACACATAAAGAAAGAAAATGCAGTTGGTGAGATCATACTATTTTTTTCCGATTTCCCAATTGTGTTTCTGGTTCATAATCGATTACTTTCTGATTTCACTCATTAAAGAGTAGATCTCTTAATAAACTTGTGTGCCTAGAATAGAAACAGTTGGTGAAAAACATGTATAGACTCATTTGTTGCAATTTGACTCCTTTGCTGACGCACTTGTAAGCGATTTCGCAGGTTGAAAATCTTACACGGAAGGCACAGCTTCAAGAAATTGAACTGGAAAGAACAACCAAACAGCTTAAGGAGGCACTGGCAATTGCTAGTGAAGAAACAGCGAGATGCAAGGCAGCAAAAGAAGTGATTAAATCACTTACCGCTCAAGTAAATTCCAAAGTTTTCCTCTGCTGTTTAAATGAAAGAAAGAAACTTCTGTATGCAACTTACTGTTTGTTTTAATGAAACCATGCAGTTGAAAGACATGGCTGAAAGATTACCTGTTGGATCAGCTCATACAATCAAGTCTCCTTCTCTGAATTCATTTGGTTCCAGCCCTGATTACACTGCCCCTTCTTCTAACACCTTAAACCGTCCAAACAGTCGGGAAACTGAACCCGATGGCCTAAACACCGTCCCAATGATTTCTAACGGGACCAGCACGCCTGTTTTTGATGGTGCAAGTTACCGACAGCAAGCGAATCATGCTGCTGAAGGGATAAATAGAATCAGTACTCGAGCAAAAGAAAGTGAAACCCGTAACGAAAACGAATGGGTTGAACAAGATGAACCTGGTGTGTACATCACCCTCACAGCCTTAGCAGGAGGCACTAGGGATCTCAAACGTGTCCGTTTCAGGTACATTTCTTCTATTAGTTTTGAGGCTTTGTTGGAATGTTACAAATACTCTTTATTTTTGGGTGGTGACCGAAAAGTATGTAACCCGAGGATGATTTTTGATGGCAGCCGAAAAAGGTTTAGCGAGAAACAAGCAGAAGAGTGGTGGGCAGAGAATAGAGGACGAGTTTACGAACAATACAATGTACGAATAGTCGTTGACAAATCCAGTGTGGGTGTAGAAAGTGAAGACTTGACTCATTGAATTCTTTGCTTCACCCCCCAAATAACACAATTCCAGAGTTTCCCATTCATCCTTTTTTTTTTGTGTTTTTTGTCAACACGGGTTTCATAGTCATAGGTTTATTTGGGGTTTAACCAAAAAAAAAAAAAAAGGAGAGCTTAGGAGTGTTTTCACCTTCTTCTTTCATTATAGTTTGGGTGTTTTCTTTTGTAAATTCATTTGTAAATTCTATAAGCATGCTCTGTTTCTTTCGTCTTTGTCTCGATAAATGCTTTTCTTTGATGTTGAAACATCACTAATGGTTAGGAGCAGATTGTGAAGCAAGAAGAGGTATATTAAAAATAGTATTTTCTAATATTTTAATGATGTAATGAAAGGC